TTTTTTTTTTTTAGTTTTCATTATTATTACGTTTTATTATCAGTATCTTTATAAATCCAACCTTTATTTTTCTTTAGGGGTTGGAAACATTACATATAAACTTACAGATGTATTTTAACATTTTATTTAGTATATATTACTAAACGATGTTGTTGTTAGGTGCCGTTGAGTCAGTTCCAATTCATAGCCACCCTGTGTATAACAGAGTAAAACACTGCCCGGTCCTGTGCCATCCTCACAATCGTTATGTTTGAGCCCATTGTGGCAGCCACTGTGTCAGTCCATCTCGTTGAGGGTCTTCCTCTTTTTCACTGGCCTTCTACTTTACCAAGCATGATGTCCTTCTCCAGGGACTGATCCCTTCTGATAACATGTCCAAAGTATGTGAGACGTAGTCTCACCATCCTTGCTTCTAAGGAGCATTCTGGTTGTACTTCTTCCCGGACAGATTTGTTCATTCTTTTGGCAGTCCATGGTATATTCAGTATTCTTCACCAACATCACAATTCAAAGGCGTCAATTCTTCTTCATTCTTCCTTATTCATCGTCCAGCTTTTGCATGCATATGATATTTAAAAAAAAAATACGGTCATAATTGAGGTTCGTTGTAACTTGAATATGTTGTTGAGGACTACCTGTAATAACTTTTTTTTCACTTTTATTTCTGTGTTTTGGAAACCACTACTTTTTTTTTTTTCTGTATTAAACACATACTGTCTTAGTTATTTAGTGCTGCTATTACAGAAATACCACCAGTGGGTGGCCTTAACAGAAATTTGTTTTCTCACAATTAGGAGGCTAGAAGTCTGAATTGAGGGTGTTGGCTCTAGGGAAAGGCTTTCTCTCTCTGTCGGCTCTGGAGGAAGGTCCTTGTCTTTTCTGAGCTTCTATTCCTGGGCCATCTTCCTCTGGCTTGGCATCTCTCTTTTCCCATCTATTTGCTTGCTTGTTTAATCTCCTTTATGTCTCAAAAGGAGGCCCTGGTGGCAGTGGTTAGGCTTTTGGCTGCTAACCAAAAGGTCAGTTTGAATTCACCAGACACTCCTTAGAAACCCTGTGGGCCTGTTCTACTCTGTCATATAGGGTCGCTATGAGTCAGGGAATCAACTCCATGGCAATGGGTTTTATATCTCAAAAGAGACTGACTCAAGTTACACCCTGCAATAATCCTTCATTAACATGACAAAGGCAGCCCATTCCCAAATGGGGTTATAACTACAGGCATAGAGGTTAGGATTTATAACACATATTTTGGGGGGACATAATTCAATCCATGACACACACTTTTTTTTGTTTTATTCCTTTTTCACTTTGGAATACTTAAGATAGTCTTTGTGGTCATTATTGAGGTATACGTGAACTCTTTTTTTTTTTTTTTGTACTCATTCTTAATTATTTTTTTTATTTTATTTTTTATTGATGCAATTAAATGAAGTTTACATGTCAAGCTAGTCTCCCATACAGAATTTTTTTTTTGTTAAACATACATTGTTATGAGACCCCAACGGCTCACCCCATTCTGTGACAGCACACTCTTTTCCTCTGCCCCTGATTCCCCATGAACATTCAACCAGCTCCTCTCTCTACCTTCCCCTCTCACCTCTGGACAGAAGCCGCCCCTTTGGTCTCCTATATCTGCTTGTCTAAGAGGCATATTTTTCATGAGTATCACTTTATGTCCCACAGTCCAGTCCAATCCCTGTCTGAAGAGTTGGCCTCGGAAATTGATTTAGTGCTGGGGTGATGGAGAGACCAGGGGCCATGCTTTCCAGGGCGCCTCCAGTCTTAGACCATTAAGTCTGGTCTTCTTATTAGTATTTCAGTTCTGCATCCCATTGCTCTACTGCTCCATCAGGGACCCTCTGTTGTGTTCCGTTGGGACGTTCATTGGTGGTAGCCGGACACCATCTAGTTCTTCTGGTCTCAAGCTGATGAAGTCTCTGGTTTATGTGGCCCATTCTGTCTCTTGGGCCAATACTTTCCTTGTGTCTTTGGTGTTCTTCGTTCTTCTTTACTCCAAGTGGTTGGGACCAGTTGATGCATCTTAGATGGCCACTTGCAAGCTTTTAAGACCCCAGACGCCACTCACCAAAGTAGGATGCAGAGCATTTTCTTAATAAGCTTTGTTATGCCGATTGACTTAGATGTCGCCTGAAGGCATGGTCCCCAGACCCCCCATCCCTGCTACTCTGTCCCTCAAAATATTTGATTGTATTGAGGAAACTTCTTAGCTTTGGTTTAGTCCAGTCATGCTGACTTCCCCTGTAGTGTATACTGTCCTTCCCTTCACCTAAGATAATTCTTATCTACTATCTACTTAGTGAATAACCCTCACCCTCCCTCCCCACCCTCGTAACCATTAAAGAATGTTTTCTTTTGTGTTTAAACCTTTTCTTGAGTTCTTATAAATAGTGTTCTTATACAGTATTTGTCCTTCTGCAGCTGACTAAATTCACTCAGCATAATGACCTCCAGCTTCCTCCATGTGATAAGATGTTTCACGGCTTCATTGCTGTTTATCATTGTGTAGTATTCCATTGTGTGGATATACCATAGTTTGTTTATCCATTC